GATGATAGGATTGCCTGGGTTGCTGCAGAGGAAAAGCGTCAGCGTGAGATAGAAGAAGAGGGTGAGATACAGCGTATAAGCGAACTTAACAGAAAGCGCCAGCTGGAGAGAGAGGAAAGTAAGATGCAGCAACAACTTCTAAGAGAAGAGCACGAGAGGGAGTTGCAACGTATGAAAGAAGAAGACGAAGAAAGCTACCAGCGTGAGATAGACAGCGAGAGAGAGTATCAGCTGATAAGAGCAGAACTCCTCAGAGAACTGAAGCAGTTCGACGAAGAAGACGAGAGAAGGCGACAGTCTACTCAACAAGAATATGACAGAGAAAGGCGGCCTGAACAGCAAGCAGAAAATGGTGATGATACTATGAGTGCAGTCGAGGAAATCACACCTCAGACTGACTATAGGGCACAGATTGTAGAGGTTCAACCTCCCAATTTAGAAGTGCGCACCCCTTCTCCCAAAAGTTTAGAAGCTAGGGATAAGGATGAAAACCACCTCAAAAAAGACAGACAGTACCTCAAACCTACTAACCCAAAAGGGATACTAGGGAAACAGAAGAATTTTTCTAACAGGACCGTAGCTACATTGCCGGGACCCTTAGTTTCCAGTCTTAAGCCAACAAGGAAAAGATGGGACAAGAAAAAGAAATCTTCACAAGGGACCAGACCTACAATGCTGGGACCCCTTATTTCCATTAGCTCAGACGAGCAAAATGAGAAAATTCCTCCCGACCAGAAACTGAATCGTGGAAGGAAAAAGAGTGCCGTGGGTACCGTTAACAGTCACGAGCGTGACATCAGAATCAGGGAAGCCACACCTGATTTCTTCAACCCTTCAAGTTTTTCAAAGAAAGACGAAGGGGACCCGCACACTCCGAAATGGAATAGTAGTAGGAAAACGAGAACCCCAAGCACAGGTGACAGTAGTCACAAGAATGAGGACTGCCTGGACCATAGACCCAGCGGTTTGACTGGCACACCAGCCACTAGTGAGAGCGAGGGCAAGACCTTATGCGACTCTCATATATCCTTCTGTTCGGCTGAACAAGAAGAAGAAATTCAGGCTGAGACAGAGAATGACAGGGCACCTGCTTCTCTTATCCTCTTCAGTGCGGCTGCACATGAAGAGGGAGTTAATCTCAGTTCTGACTCCAACCCCCAAGAGGTTGACGACACAGGTGGTAACACGTCACTTCATTTATCTTCACTGGACTTGGCATCAGAAAGCCCGACCAGGAAGAAAGTGAATACTCGAGAGGAGAAACCTCCCGATATCTCAGAGTGCCTACAAGAGGAAACTCTGAAAGTACAGGATATTCCTGTAAACTCTAATGTGGATAGCGACACTGGACAACCCAGGATGTCTGCCAACACTAGAGAAGAAGCAACTTTTGTGGAACAGTGGGTGGAGACTTTAAAAAGAAGTAATGCCACCTTATCACTTTTGAAGACCCAAAAGTGTTTGAATGATCTGATCAGTTTATTCACTGGCCAGACACTTGCACGCAGTGACTCCGACTGTGACACAATCTTTGAAGAATGTGACTGACTAGGCGGCTGTCTGGGTAAGGAGAGAAGGCGGCAAGAAAGAACAGATCTATTGCGCTACCGAGGAAAAGGCAGTGGCAAGTTCTGGGTACATCCTGGGATAATGATGTACAACAATACCCCTCATATAAAGAGGAGATTGAAAGATTTCAGCAGGATTGGTGCACGACGGCGGAAAAAAGCGGTGACCCAACTGACTGTGACTCATCTGTTTAGGAAATCACTTCAGGCGCTCCCATTACAGATTGGGAGGAGCCGAGTGACAGCAAACTTATATCAGCACCGCGGAGAAGACGGGTTGATTAAAAATGGAGTTCCCGGATTGTGGAGAAAGAAGGAACCTCCAGATAAAAGGATATTACCGAGCTTCGGCTTAGAATGCCTACATGATTCTAGGACTAAGGACTTAGCCTGGAAGAATGGACATATGGTGACTGTACAACGATGCAGGACATCTAGATTCCACAAGGAATACTGGCGAAGGAAACCTTGGGACAGAAAGGAGCTGAGAAGTGAAATAAACTTCTTGGAAATCACTGAGTGTCTAAACATTGGCCATAGCGAGCTACGACCAAAATCAACCGTGGGCCCATGTGACGAAATGACCTCAGTGGTCTCAGAAGTTATCTTGTGTTTGATAATTTCTTATGTTCAGAGAAGGACAAAGAATTATAAGCAATAGACACTGAGCCTAAAATATTTCTAAATCCACTATAAGGGATTTGAGAATTGTTTAAACTGTGTTTCCTGTCTTAGCCAGACAAAGCAACCTTGCTTGGTGTAATGTTACCTAATACTACTGTAGTTAGAGATTTCACCTGCCCATGTCATATTATTATCTCCTGCCCAGTCTGTAGAGGCAAGTAAAGGGGGAGATAACTTCGTATCACACCTGAAGATTAGCTCCCCTGAATCCAACCGTAGGGGCATAAAAATTACATAACACACACTGAGTGGGGCCATTTGATCAAACTGAAGCAGGGGAATTAGTGGTCTGATAGACATTTCTAGACAGGATGGCGTCCAGCTTCTGAAGTTTTCACACATGATAGTGAAATTCTCAAGAGAACAGATGTTTGGCAATTAGGAATGTTTAATCTTGGTCAAGGTCGTACTGTAGGCCGTTCACTGTGAGTGACAGGCCCCTTGATAGCTAGGTTGATCTAATAGGTACCTCCGAGGCGGGGCTTAAGTCATCTCCGTTAGGGTTGGGTATAACCTAGTAGAGGGTGGAGTTAAACCTTGCAGACAGATAGAGGTATTAATAAGAATAGCCCTGGAATTTCTGTCATAATCGCTGCCACGAGCAAACAAACAGGTCGACCTTAGAGGTAATTCTAATGGTTTGATTCTAGTTTGGCGATAGCTGGAAGTTTCCAGGTAAGCCTGTACAATTATTTTCAATCTTGTATACATAGGTTAGGGAGTTAGCTAAAATCTATTCTACCTTTTCCTAATTTGTCTACACATTCTGCTTGAAATAGTTCTTTGTAAGTATTCAGTATCTCAGTTAGGGAACTGCTAAACTATTTCTATTTCTTGTATGCTTGTGGCACATGTTTTTCAGTGTATGTTTTCATGTTTATAAAATAAGACTTGTATACTAAAATGTAATGAAATTATCATGTTTGGACCATCAACCAAAACATGAGTTTGGACTGTGGGAAAAGATGCCCACATATGCAGCCATGCTGTTACCTTTTGTGTGCCCACCATGTGCTCACTTAATGTGTTCACCTAAACAGGGGATTGATAACGCCAGGGGAAGAATCATGGGTGTATATTATTCACTGTCACTGAAAGATAATATTCAGGACAGCATGCACATATAAAATCTTTTGCGTGATCAGCACACAACCTGCGCCACATGTTTATGTCAAATCAATGTCAGCAAGTTGGAAGTCTGAGTGATGACGGACAACAGAAAGTCAACTATCATGACAGAACCTTAGAGGGAAGGCAGGATATGTGAGACGTCGATTGTGAGACACAAAGACCTTCAGATTAGACTGGAGAGAATGTGGAATATGAGGAGGAGTGATGAGATATAATGTTTTATTATATATTGTATTAATTGACACATGTATTCTTAGTGTAAGTCAAGATACTACACGTATGTGTGTGTTTCCATTATTGCAGCTCCCATGTGGGTGAGGATCAGTCTCTTTTGAGAACAGAAATAGAGGGTCATCACGGTCACGAGACTACATTGTGTTAGAACTCGGCCAGCTGAGAAACAGGTGGGAACCAGGGAACCAGGTGGAAGGACCAGGAGAACTGGGCGGAAAGATTGGAACAGCTAAGAAGGGACTCAACACGAGGACTCTCAGAGGTTCCACTTTCTAAAGTTATGTAACATGTAGTTATGTAACTAAACACCACCATTATCATTCAGTCGAATCTTAGGTGCTCAGTTATCTAGCTGAAGCATCTCATTACCACCATACCATCACTATCTATTATAACAATAATGATGACTAATGTCATACTCTGATTGCTAGGTTAATAAATCAAATATATGGTTCTATCCTGCATCAGTTTTTGTAATTCCAAATGTGTCTGTTCTTACACGTTTAATTAAACTGTTAAGATAGAATAGCATTTGGTGGGGGCTCATTAAATAATAAAATTTCTTTACCAAGAGAAGGTCGACGGATTGGGTCAACTGCCCTGTCTAGTGAATCATTCAAGATAATAATATATAGACATCTAAAACCCATTTCTTTCTCTTGTGGGTACCAAGTTCAGCTAAAGTTAATATAAATAACGAGCCAATATGGCTGTTTTCTTGGATATCCAGGACTTTGTCTGAGAGCAACATAGCCCAGATAATAGTTCAGTTAATCTGGTGGAGGGGAGGTGTTGAGAGGAAAATCCCTACTCAACATACAAATCATTTATACCCAAATCCAGAGAACCCACGACCCGGGACGTCACACGGGAAGTGTTGTAATTTCCAAAGGGAGTGGGCCGTAACGTCACACTCCCTCTGCCTCACTATGTCTCCCTCTGCCTCACTATGTCTCCCTCTGGCTTATTATGTCTACCTCTGCCTCACTATGTCTACCTCTGCCTCACTATGTCTCCCTCTGCCTCACTATGTCTACCTCTGCCTCACTATGTCTCCCTCTGCCTCACTATGTCTACCTCTGCCTCACTATGTCTCCCTCTGCCTCACTATGTCTCCTTCTGCATCACTATGTCTCCCTATGCCTCACTATGTCTCCCTCACTATGTCTCCCCCTGCCTTACTATGTCTCCCTCTGCCTCACTATGTCTCCCTCTGCCACACTATGTTTCCCTCTGCCACACTATGTCTCCCTCTGCCACACTATGCCTCCCTCTGCCACACTATGTCTCTCTCTGCCACATTATGCCTCCCTCTGCCACACTATATCTTCCTCTGCCTCTCTTTGTCTCCCTCTGCCTCACACACAGTTACCATGTAATTACCTTTCATTATAAAGCCAGGCAATAAACTCAGTGGAGTTCCAGTAGGTATCTGCAGCCATCCATTCTCCATCAGACCAGACAATCTCTGGCTTATACTTGTTTACAAGCTCATACAGTTCTGGCATGGTTTTGGCCTGTTTACAGTACAAACAAACAGGAAAAATAAATAACTACAATTATTTGAACAAAGAATACAGACAACAAAATGAACAATTTAGTGTCAAAATTAAGGAGGTGAAAGGTGCACCTGGTTTAACTTTTAATTAACACAGAGAAAAAAAAAACGGTGACCAATATATAAACTAAATGAAATGGAAGGAAAAAGCACATGTCTTTTTCTTTCCCTTCACTGAGCTTCTCCATCATAGTAGCTGGTGTTGTATTTATCTACTTCTAGCACTTCAGCTGTTTCTCCATTCACCCTTAAACAGGGCAGCTTGGTTTACAGCTAGGTGGTTATATCTGCACCTTTAGGATCAACACCTCCAATTTCAGTCAAACCTTAATTAGTCGCCCCTTTATGACTTGCCTAACTCTTTGAGTCCCAAGAAACGCATCATACATTCATAGGTTCCTACCTAGAAGCCCAATAAACACATGATGCGCCGATTTATTACTTTCTTTACTATGCCCTGGGCCTATGATGCTAAACCCCCTGGGACTCAAAGAGTTAAGGTGCAGTGGGTCTATCCGCCCCCACCACCCCACCCACATGTTGAAACTTCTTGCATAATTTATTGCCTGACATATTTTACCGTATGCTGTAAGGTGCATAGGTGTAAAAAAAATTATGACGAAAGATTTTGTTGTTACTGATTTGCACATTAAAAAAGTAACTCACTACTGAATGGCAAGGATCTTCTATCATACAGGAAGCACGAAATGCATAGTGAATAAGAGTCACAAACTTTCAAATTTATCTCAAGTATACTATGAATTCCTAGTTACAGAACCTGACTGACTGGACAGGCCTCAGGCATGCAACCAGGAAGTCCATCGCAACTGACCGCCAAACGTGGAGAGAGCTGATCAGAGAGTCAACAGAAACTGGTGACCCAACGACACACAATGTTATGGGATGATGATGATGATGATATTGATACTATGAATTATGTGTCTAGTTAGCTGTGAGAAAGGAGCCAAAGAAAGGTATACTTTAGTATTCCAAACAGGCTGCATCCTTGACTAAATTTCAACATTAAACAAACAACCCACACAAGAATATTTATAGCATATTTGAGAGGTGTCCAGCAAGTCAACCACAGGGTACTAGCCGACTCACAAGGTGTGGTGGTCTGTGTCATACTGTCTTTTCATTTTAGAAGTCAGTAGCTGTGATGTCTGAAATATACTGTAGCCCAGAAACCTCAAACGGTTGGCAATCACTAACACATGGAGTTCTTCATGATGCAAATAATAGGATTCATGCTGATGCTGCCAAGTTCATGCACTGTGCTGAAACAATGGGTGTTCTATGCAAGGAGACTGGGTCCCATAACAGAGTTAGCTAAATGTAGAATGAAAGTATTCTGGCATAAATGAAACAAACCATACAAGAACAACTACAGTAACTGTATAAACAAACAAGACCACTTCAGGACTTTACAAACAAACTGAACAAGAACTTCAGTGACTGTACAAACAAGAAAAACTTCAGGACTGCAAATAAACAAGGACAATTTCAGTGATTTGTTCACTAGTTTTAAAATGGGAAAGTGAAGGACATTTTGTGTGATTTCCACTGGCACAGGAATACAGCAGTTATGAGAGGACCCCTCAGTAGTGATGTTAGAAGCTCAGCTAACGAATAACTTCAGTGATTATTCAAAAATCCAACTCATCACATAGCAGGTCCAATGCAGACGTCGCTCTCATCACCGTCTCCCTAAGAGAAACTCGGTCTTTCGCCAGCTCTCCCGTCTTGTGTACTTTTATATTCAAGGAAATACTAATATTCTGTGCCTATCGTTGTGTTGATTGGTCTCTGCTCCTCCTTCCTGGTGCCATATCTTCTGCTATTATTTATTCCAATCCACCATGGAGCTTGATATGACCAAAATATTTCAGCTTAGTAGACAAGATGCTGTTTATTTGCCAATCTTCCTTGACGTTCAGAAGAAACCAACTACACAAGAATAATTTCAATGACTGGACACATTAACAAAACCAGAGTGTCTTAACAAAACAACTAATTAAGAACAACTTAAAATGACTGTACCCTAACATAATTCTGTGTTGTGAAACCATTGGCTTGATCTTGCAGAAAAAGTGGGTTGAACCATTCAAACATGGAATGATACACACCAAACTTGATGTTGGTTCTCTGACGGACTGCGTCTGCCAGCTCCCCTTAGGAAAAATATTATACATATTTGTTTTACATATTTATGTACAGAGAAAATTGTATGATTACTGATTTAAAATTGATATCATAGTACACCTGGCACACCATAGATGCTCTGTCTCCAGCAGCAAATGTCTTAACTGTAGATGCTAAATGTTCCCACTGCACTCTGACTTCGAAGGAACTCCTAATTAGTTGACTCCACCCGTCATTCTACATTTATGCTTTGTTTTATCCCGGTGTGGGTTTTTGGGTCCCTGTATAGGTTTCGGGGTCCAATTGTGATAGGGGGAGGGGTTCAGAATAGACCCACTGCCAGCTTAGCTAGCATGTCATGAATAAATTAAAGTCATGAGTTCTTTTTTTTTTTTTCTCAAGTATTTTCAGACACTGATACCTCCAGTCCCATAAACTTATTACTTCAGCTCATTCCATTTGAAATATCTGAGGTTTAACCCTGTCACCCCAGGAACACTAACAAAACAAAAACTATGGGCCGTGTACCAGTGAGAATTCCAAATAAAATCCTTTAAAAAAAGGCATTTTATACAGGTCACTAATAATACCATGCCGGCCACCTTTACTTTCCAGGACTTTACTTTGTACACATTTAAGGCTGGGCCAGCCTGGAAGCCAAGGTCATTTTTGAAAAAAGTCTGGCTCCATCAGGACCTGAACCTATGATCTTCAGATCCATAGGTGTGTCTAGTAGCTACACCACAGTGTTTTAAGTATCTTGGTACTAAATCTTCTTCTACTTCTTTGTTCACTGGCTGTAAGCTCTGGCGGAAAGTCCTGGTTGTTCGTCCATTTGGACTTTGACTTTGTGCCAGGGCCTAAGTTTTGCATGTACACCCCATCTACTGACTTATTTGTGCGCAGTTGGTTGCTCCTTGCCGCTTGGGCTGATGCACTCTGACTTCGAAGAAACTCCTAATTAGTTGACTCCTATGACATGCTTGTTGTGAAGGCAGTGGGACTATTCTTGTTTTTCCCACAATAGGGCCCAGGAACCCACACGGGAAAGGTACTAAATGATTTAAGTTAATTTCATGTGAACATCTTCTCTAATCAAATTCCATAATTGCTATATTTTTTACCTTGATATTTTTTAACGGTAACACATGAAAAGATTAATCAGATAATATCAATTCAACAAACACAACTGACCCACTAAATCTCTTTTTGGTCCCACATCTCCAGCATTCCAGTTCCAAGAGTAGGTAGAGGGCCAGTTGGTGAAACCTTCGTGATGCTTAGATACCAGCACAAGGTAGCTAATTTTCAATCAAACAATCAATCAAAATATAAATATAACAATTCTTACATCGTACATACATGTATACACTTTTTAGGGTGAAATCATGAGAGAGAGAGAGAGAGAGAGAGAGAGAGAGAGAGAGAGAGAGAGAGAGAGAGAGAGAGAGAGAGAGAGAGAGAGAGAGAGAGAGAGAGAGAGAATGCTATACAACTGTCTTTGCTGACTATTTTAAATGCTTTATAGGGCAGTGTAGGACAGTGGGTATTGAACCTAAAACATTCAAAGGACTGGTGCATTTGCCATGACTGTGCAGGTTAGGATTTTGTTTTTGCCATCGACATAACAAAATCTCCCATCGTACCAAAGAAGTGAACCATGGTCTCATGAATGACAGTCCAGCATTCTCAACCACTTGGTTAGCTGCTCCTACAAAATGCAATTATAGATTATTTAAATTTTAAATTTTGGACACAACTGTTTGTGAAAGTTACCAAGTCAGGAGCCCTGGCTAAAATGTTCGTAAAAGGCTAAAATCTGTTAATAAAGGAAATATTGTGATCATATCTCAATGTGTTCCTCTTTTATCTTGCGCCTCCAGAAAACTCTCAACAAACTTCAGAGCAGAGCATCAAGCCATTATTGATTCAGCCAAAATGCTTGAGGAAAGAAAAAATTAAAAACAGCAGAAACTGTTTTCCTTTGTGACTGCATGTCAGTCCCCCAAGCGACTCAGAAGGATCCACAAGACAACATAGAGTGAGAACTGATCCATCAGCTAAACAGACTTAGAAAACAATCAAATCGTTCTCCAGTGGATCCCGGCTCACTGTGGCATACCAGGAAATGAGTTAGCAGACAGACTTGCAAAAAATGGAACAAAAGGAGAAACAACGCACCCACTCATTGTCATTACCAGAAATCAGAACACTTGTCAAGCAAAAATTCAAGGAATTGTGGAGAGAACAAACAGTAAACATCCACAAGACCAAATCAGCACACTCAAAAGAAACATGAATTTAGATAATATCTTTTAAAAAAACATTTTAAAATTAATATTTTATACAAAACACATACTTAGCTCCTGAAGCATTGAAAATGTCTGCCCACTGAGCAGGATTGTAAAACTCAGCATGAAACAAGGGAGCAAAATCTGCATATGTAAAGTCTGGTCTGTAGTTTGCTTGCATATATTGTGTAACAGCAGATTGTTTCTCTCCTTGCCAGTACCACCAGAACCATTCACTGCCAAATGCAGGCACAGAGAAAACTCCCCAGTGAAGAAAAATTCCAACTTTTCCCTCATCGTACCAGGCTGGAAAATAAAAATATTTCTAGTGATAACTTATACACAGTAGAACTATCCAAAACTAAAATTAGCATCACATTTAGAATATGTTACTATGACGTCAGCTAAGGATCGGAAGGTTGTGGGTTCGCTCCCTGGAAAAGGGTCCTTTACTTTTTTACTTACTATGATGTAAAATTAGTACTGCCATCTTCTTAAAAGTCCATACCATGTGGCATTGGTAGTCATGTTTATCCACAACCTTCTGCCTCATGTACTTTTAATCAACTCTGACATAGATGATCCTCCATGTGATGATGTCAAACTGTCCAGCATCTTTTCTCTCAGTCTCCCTTTACCTCTCCTCCCCTCCAACTGTTCTACTCTCACGACGATGTACTCCAGTTTTCTCCTTCTCATCACATCACCAAAGAATGCAGACTGTCTCTTTCTGATGTGGGCAATCAGTTCTCTTCATGAGAACTGCTATACTGATCATAAAACTCTGTGTAGGTTCTGTGGCCTCATTTTGGGGAAAACAAGAACAGACCCAACTGCCTACACAAAATCATGTCATAACAGTCGACTAACTGAGAGCTTCCTTCAAAGTCAGAGCACTTCTGCCTGAGAGGCAAGGAACCAACAGTCTGGTGAAATGCGAAGAAGATAACAAATATAGATAATGTATATAGAAAACAGTTGTTAATACACTACAAACATTTATTAACTGGTTTCTGTATAGAATGAAAAGAATTAAATGGTAGGATGGAATCACTAATGGGTAGCTTCAGAAGAGAATTAAACAAATGATAACAAATCAGGAGATGAGAAAAAGATGCTGATGTTAGATAGAAATTACAATGAGAAAACCTGTGAGCAGCAGAACTAGAAAGCTCCGTCAGTCAAACTCAGTAGGTCAGGAAATATAGAAAGACCAAAGACACAGGAGAAGAGATTTAAAGGTAAAGCTCAAACTGGCAAAAAATCAACATTCAGAAAAATCAACAGATTTGAAAGATTCCTGTGTTCTCCCTTTCACTTCTTTTTTGTTTCTCTACTTCTGGAATGCCTCACGGCATGTAGGCAGGAAGAGATCTCTGGAACGGGCCATTCTGTTCTCTTCATATAAAGTAGATTTCGGTGTCTGATATTTCTGTGGTCAATCTTCTGCGTGGTCGATCATTTACTTTCATATTTAAATGTGCCTCATTTCAAAATCTTTAACATAATAATTTATATACTGAATAGGAGTTAATGGCAATAAACTGCAAGACTTGGTTACTTTGTTATGATTGCTTTCAAGACAAATACATAGTCATCAAAATACTGCATAGACTTCAGAGACTGAGAGGACTGAATGTCTGCTCTTTGATTTGCACTGCACTGATGTGAAGGGAATATTTCTTCCATCAGGAGTATATATTATGTTCAGTATATATTCTGTTCTGTATATACCATTCTATACCCCCCCCCCCCTTAAGACCGTGAACACAAGTTACTACCCTACTCCATATGTGTGTGTAGTGTAACAGTATATAAGGAATGAAGGTATTGTGGCCTTCAGTGAAAACTTTCTCAACTGCTTGTACAGGGACTGTTCAATTGTTCTAGTTCCAGGTGGAAATTCCAGGAGGAAGTTCTAGCATAGCTGAAGGTGCCCGATTGTCTAGACTGGACTAGAAGATTTGACCTGCCTGAAGTATCTCTGAGGACTGAGCCAGAAGCTGACCAAAGGAGCACAAACAACAGATGAGTGGATATCAGTCCACTACATCAATTTGTAATCCATCAATTAGTATTTTTTCCCCAGTCCAAGGATTAGATTTACTCCAGATTAAATACACGATTGTTTTAATGTTATTTCAAATTTGTGGAGTTTATTTTAACAGTGTATATCAGTGAGCAACAGTTATTTATTAAAATATACATAAATATACCATTTATATAATATTAGGGAATCAGATGTGGGCAAACCACGAACCCTCTCCTTTAACTAGCAAGGCTGGGAGATAGATAATTTTTAGGATGTTTTGTAATTCTCTCTTTTAGGATGTTTTGCAATTCCCTCTGTATACTGTCTGTGTGTGATGTCTTGTACCGAACAGAGGAAGAACTATGTTCTAGTATCTTCAATAGACTGCACACAGCATATTCACTATAACAAAGCAAATTAACACCCCACAGACAGGTAATGAAAAATACACATTAAATTAGACAGTTGAACCTGTTATTTTTTGTTGTTGCTATATCTTACTATAAGAACACACATAGAATATAATGTAAATATTAGTAATAATATTATTACTAATACACACAGAATATAATGCTAATAAATAGTAGTAATATTATTATTACTAATACACATAGAAGATAATGCTAATAAATAGTAGTAATATTATTATTACTAATACTGTTTATTATCTTAGTAAAGTTACCATTACTATGCCATAACTCACAAGCACAGGAAATATTATATTAAAAAACAATATTAATAAGTAAAATTTTACTGATTTAAGAATTGACACCATAGAACACCAGGCATACCCACTGGTGTTCTGTCTCCAAAAACAAATGTTTTAACTCTTTGAGTCCCAAGGAACATATTATGTGCTATTTGATAACTACCCAGCAGCCCAGTCAGCCCGTGACCTGTACAGGTTTTTAATTTACCACTGATCAGTTGAAAAAAAAAAAAAAGTTAACCGCTCAATTTAATTTCCTATTCAGCTCTCAAGTGTGTAGTTAACATACATAGAGTTTTGAATGCTCTAAAACTATATTTTTGTAGTCTACTAAATTAAGCAATTGTTTTAAAAACAATATGGCTGCTCAATCATTGTCTTCATGCCCAGCAAAGCGATTTACTGCTTTAGAAGTGTAAGCGTGTGACGACGAATACCTTGATTTGTTTTGAGTTCACTTGTGAAAAATACTGTGTATAAAAAGGCCAGCTCACTCAAAATTTGCCTAATTTTGGCTTCCGGGTTGAACATGCAGAAGATCCACCCAGCTGTTGTGGCTCTGTACATTGGGCTAGACAGCCTGGGTACGGGCCACTGCAGGGGAAGGCTGGTTGCCCGGCTGATTTTACGATGGTGGTATGTTTTCTATAGTTAGCTCTAAATTTGTCTTTAGTTGTTAGACTGTGTAGAGATATATCAGTGTGTATCATCACCATGAGATAGTTCATTTTATTAGTGAAGTTCTTGGCACGTTGAGGATCGTTAATGTTGTATTATCTGTGAACAGCGCTTAGTATTGTCTTATGTTCAGTGAAATAAGCAGATGATTAATGTGATAATTATAGTTACAGTTGTTTGATTCAGATTAGGACTTGTGGTTAGTGTGGCTAGTTTACCATTGCTTTGCTGATTAGATTTGGGCTAGAATATTTTTGTTTCTAGTCCCTGCCTAACAAACTCTGTTTTCTTTATTTTTAAAACAGTAGCTTGGTCATAGTAATATAGATCTGAATAACGATAGTAATGATGTAGAATTTTTCCAATCCTTTGACAAGTCAAGTTCTGACAAGTAGCTTATGTACTCCTGCTATGTGGAAACAAGTGACCAATTCTGCTATAACAAGAAAATAGTTAATCTAAAGTACCCTTTACCTCGGCACCAGTTAGTCCCAAAGTCAGCACTTTTAGCACTGGCATTACTACTAGTGCATGCCAGAATGATAGTCATCTTCAGTAAGAACACAACCAAGATTTCTTTTAGAGCCACCATGTCCAGCTGGTGTGGCAGAAAACTTGGATGTGTCAACCATATTGAAAAACTTAAGTGTTTTATTTGATACTGACATAAAAGAGTATTTACTGAATCAAATAAATGATTTTGCAAGGGATTAGGTGCCAGAAAAACACCCCAGCCTCAAAGCATTCCCTACATGAAAGGAGCAAGGATATGACAAACTTGGAGTTAGACAGGTTTTTTGCTGTCCTCATCAATATGGGAACCCACAAGAAACCATCAATAAGATATTTTTGGTGTCAGGCCTCCGACATGCACACATCATGATTTGGCCATGTGTTCTATAGAAACAGGTGCCAGGACATTTACCCCACCATGCTGTATGTGGCTGGAGATGAGGCAGAAGTAAAGGATAAAACTTAAGCGTTCATTAATCTCATTTTTGAGAAAAGCAGAGCTACTTTCTACCTTTATGAAAATCTAAGTTTGGATGAGATGGTATTTGGCTTCAAAGGCAGTTGGCAGTACAAGCAATTTAATACACAAATGCGAAAGAAATATCATATCAAAACCTTTGGTTTATGTGATGCTGCCACTAGATATGATGTGAATCTGCTAGTTTACTTTGGTAGAGACACATCATATAATCCTGATCTCGATACTGACAGTGGTCATATAGTAAAAATCTTTTCAGTGCTTCTGAAACCACTAGGCAAAGGCCACCATAGTTTTGCAGACAGTTATTATAAAACAAGGGAACTGTTTGATCATCTGCTGCAGTTGCCCGACTCGTTAGCGTAGTTGGCTGAAATTGACTTCATGGCGACCGGGTGACAAATTCCTTGTGGTCCGGGTTCACCCCCGGGGGTAGGCAGAAAAGCCCCCTTTCTGTCAGATTTACGGTATCTATCATGGAATCAAGGCCGAAGGGTTGCGATATCCATAATACCGAGCCTAAGGGTTAACAACTCATGGCTTCCGGATACTTTAAAAAAAAAAAAAAAATCAGTCACACTGTAAACCACCTAGAAAAGAAGTGGTAGATGCATGAGATAGACAGAATATTTTGTGTTGCTTTCAATGAAACAAAAGCTAAGAAAAATGTAACAGTTGTCTCACCACATGCTGAAGTAGCAACAGTGCCAGCCAAGAAGGATATCATCAAGCCAGCAATCACAGACAGCTACAACCAAACCATGAATGGATGTGACTTGTTGGACCAAAAAAGTGGGCTACTATAACATACACTGTAGAAAGTCCATCAAGTGGTGGAAGAATATATTTGTGTGGATGTTTGAAATTGTCCAAGCAAATAGAAATATCATATACATGCTTAGTTCAGTAAAGATGGGGTCACAAGATTTCAAATAATAGCCTTTAAGTCAATTGATAGAAGCAAGTACGAAGGAGCTGGTATCCACAAAATACACTTTGCACCCTATTGTTCTATTCACCATCCCTGAAAATATACAGGCCTTCTCATTAACAGACAACAGGCATCTAATTATGCATAAAAGGCAAGATTTCAGATGTGCCCATTTCACCTGCCAGCCAAGCCCAAGTGTACAGTTTTATTGTTCAGGATGCCCAAATCATCCACACTTGCACCCATAGTTTTCTGCTCCATATAATCTTAAACCATAGCTGTACATCACTACATCTATATATTGACCTATATATAGTGCTCATACAGTTATTTTTTCTTTGAAGTATTCATGTGTGGGAAAGTAACTGTTTGTGGAAAAAATATTTAGTAGTATTATGAAAATTGCTATTGAGTAAAAACAATTGCACATGTTGCTTTAATATTGGCTGTGCATACTCATAAGTGGTGTACCTTCATTCGGGATTCATTTTCGATATACAATATTTTAGAAGCAGCCTTTGGGTAAGTGAACAAAACTTGTTCATAGTTTACTAACGTCTAAAAGTAAGTCACTTGTTTCTTTACAAATTATGAAGTAACTGTATAGTTGTTTGTTGTAGCAGTGTACTAATATTAATCTCCATCTACTTCTGTGTATTTCTATGTCTGATATGTGTACGTTGCACATCAGCTGCAGTTGTATGGTCTGTTTTAATTTTCTGTACTTGTAATCCCACAAATATGTAAAGTTCTAATTAATATGCTTTATTTGTTATAATTTTTGCGTTTTTTTTCCTCTTTGCCACGCCTAATTCCTCGTTCACACAATCTTACATGTTATTTCATGACTTGTTACTTGTAGTTGTAACACATAAGTAAGTAAAATTTAAAAATACAAACCAGGAAGTGGTCGAGAATCAAGTGAAGCCCAATTTGGGTCGTATCGGGCACAAAAAGCGCATTGTAGAACAAGTAAGAATATTGAAAGTGTCAGAGCCATATTTGCTGTGACAATTTCGTCTTGTTGTATCTTAAGCAACTTGCAGACTGAAATCTATACTTGCCTGCCGGGATTATGTACAAACAATTAATCATGTGATTTCTTGTCACGTGACACTTAACCTAGTATTCAGTGGGTAAAAAAGTTGCTTAGATAATGAATTTATCAGTCTGTTTTCAAAAGCCTGATCTAGGTTGGGGATAAAACGTTCTAAAAGGGCAAAGATCGACCAGAAAGGTATATTTTAAAGGAGACATTAGAAATCAATTGAGCCTAACAAGTATGTGAAGCAGAAGGACTGGTAAAAGGTTCAGTTTATCTAATTGGCTGTTATGCAAAGTACCAGATAGGTGAACATGTCTATGATTTTATAAAGTTCGTTGCAGTTGCGTGTCCTTTACAGTAGGTTGCAAAATTAACCCCAGCATAGACAACTTTATGTGCAGTAATTTGTCATTACCCCAGAACGGTCGGCTGTCAATACCATGGTTGAAATTAATGCACCGTTATCAAGGATCAAACCCGCACCATAGAATTACAGAGAAACTTCGGTACCTCATTTTTTCAACCGATATATGCTTTATATCGCAAGAAATGTGTTGTGTTTGATAAGATCTCCCAAATGCATCAAACATATTTTATAACAAGTTCTCTGACTTTTTTGTTTTGTTTTGTTTTTCAACATTTCGTCAGAAGATGCCAGAGAAATCTGGCTTCCTTGCACCGTGCACTTATTTTTTTTGAAAGGCAGGCGCTCCTGAATTTTGACAGTATTCATTTTCCCCGTTGACTATTTGCTTAAAAAACAAAACTAGTACTGAATGAGTTGATTTTATTCAAAAACCGACACAACAGTATTCGATGATTCCCATAAGCTCTCTGTCCCCATCTTCAGCAGCCAGCGAAGTGTTTCAATACCGATGGTGCTAGTAGCATTCTGATTATACGTCCGTGCTGCCTTTCATCTAAGCGTGGAGTATCGGCCAGATCCCCTCGTCACTTCTCGCTGCATTACTCTCACCAGACTGTGGTGGTCCATCTGCTGGTCCGAAATGTACACGTTCTTCCACAAGAGCCTAACCACGTCTGCCTCATCATGCATCAATATTTCACCAAGTCGTGCAGAAACAGTCAGTACCGAAATAGGTAAAAACGCAACAAGGAGAACAAGTACATGACGATCCCCTTGATATTTTGAAGCCCCACCCAGGCTTTTGCCATGGGCCCTAAATATACCCAGGCCTTAAATATGGTTTAACGACTGAACAGGATTTCGGGGACTTCTCCACGGGTGATCCTCGTCGACATGGTGGCACTTTGTGTCACCGGATGTTTATCGTTTGTGTGATGTCCTGGTGGGGTACAACTTACCTACCTACCTACCTACCTGCACAGAGAACTGTTCGGCTTCCATTTGTATGTGCCCGCGGCGCAGAGCGGGGCTAAACTAGATGGCTGGGACTCACTAGCAAATAAAATGGAGGAAGCTGCATGAGATGCGGTAGCTGCTGCTCGTGAGTCCCAGCCATCTAGTTTAGCCCCGCTCCGCGCCGCGCATAGCGGTGCATGAGATACTCCCGACAGTGACTTTAACTCGGCGGAAGCTTTTTCGCGGTATGCTGTGAAGTCGCAGGAAGAGGCCCGCAATTTACATGTGACTGAGACCCCTTTAGGGTATATTTTCGGCCTCCATAATTTGGGACCGTTTTTCGGAGGATAGCCCAAATTACATATCGATCATTTAAATAATTACGCGATAAATAAATATAAAATAACAAATATAAACTCTGAGAAATCAATTTACACTATATTTCCCAATTATAACACTAAGAGTTGAACAGGATACTGTTGAAAAATTACTACTGCAACAACTTCTTTTCATGGCTCTTGGTGGCGTGCAATGCTAAGTCATTTTATTTGGCGCACATAACCTAGTCACAATTATAGCCTAAACCTCCCCGCAAGATGAACACATCGAAGATGTAAATCCTACATGTACAACTTCTAGTAACGTTAAATTGGGGCTCCCAGCTGTTACAAAATAAATTGAAGTTCGTTCCGTTCCGTAACTTTTTCAAACAAACAAACAAAAAGTGGTCACGCTTAGCCAACATTCCCGAAGGGGGGAGTTTTGGATTATAAGTGTGACGCGACCTCCTCCAGCTTTTAATTTTAATTCATTCTAAGGGAAGCGTTGAATTGTGACTAGGTTGTGTGTGTGTGTGTGCGCCATATAAAATAGCCTAGCATTGCTCGTCACCAAGAAGCCCTGAAAAGGACTCTTGCAGTGTTGATGCGATCAAGGGAGATAGACCCAGATACTGTCCCGACCGGCGACGAAGTCGTCTACCGGCCAGCCAAGAGGCGATTAACCTCAAGACCGAGCCAGGCAGGGATTATATACATAGAACGCGTCTATAAGCGCCAGAACCTTGGGGAGGGGGGGGGGGGGGTCGGAAATCGTTTCCCATTTGATTAAAAAATATGCTCCTTTGACTTGAGGACCGATGATTGCTAACACAAAAATGAAAAGTGCATGAAAGATCTCTGTGCGTGCGTGTGTTTGTGTGTGTTTATGTACGTGCGTGTGTTTGTGTGTTTATGTGTGTGTGTCTACCTGCATGCCTGCCTGCCTACCTACATATCCACCTGTCTGTCTCTCCGTCTATCTTTAGAAAAGCTAACATGTTGGTAAAAATATCTTGTCTATCCATCGACGGCGCGTCGGCTAGATCCCCTGGTAACTACTCTCAGCGACATTCTCCTCAGACCGTAATGATCAATCTGCGCCTCCGCACTGTTCACCCGTTCACAGAAACAATAGCTTATGGACAATAATATATTGCCAATTCCCCCCCCCCCCCCCCTTCCATTTTTTTTCTCCCCTGGGAAGACACGTTGTCTTTCTATCATTACATGCATTAACTCATTCAATACCAGGCAGACTACTGTGTATTTGTTGCCATCTTCTTCTTCTTCTTCTTCTTCTTCTTCTTCTTCTTCTTCTTCTTCTTCAGCTCTCTTCTTCTTTCTTCTTCTCTTCTTCTTCTTCTTCTTCTTCTTCTTCTTCTTCTTCTTCTTTTTCTTCTTCTTCTTCTTCTTCTTCTTCTTCTTTTTCTTCTGCCAATGGAGCATAGGCCCTCAACCAACTCACGCCAAGTCGTTCTATCCTTCGCCATTACATCGAGCTCTCCCCATGTCCTCCCCATCTTTCTAACTTCATTCTCCAGCTCTCTTCTCCATGTGGTTTTTGGCCTTCCTTTATTCCTATGCCCCTGTGGGTTCCACTGCAAAGACATTCTAGTTATGCTATTCTCCTGTTTTCTCAGTGTGTCCTAGCCAACGCCAGCGTCTTTTCCCCACCTCTTGGTCCACCGGAGCCTGTTTAGTTCTCTCCCAAAGCTCTACATTAGTTATTCTATCACACCATTTAATTCCCTCTATTTGGCGCAGGCACCAGTTAATGAATGTTTGTAATTTATTAGTAATTGCCTTAGTTGTTCTCCATGTTTCCGCCCCTTTAAAAAGTACTGATTTGACATTAAAATTAAAAATGTTTAGTTTAGTATTTCTTTTAACTTCTTTCGACCTCCACAAATTCCCTAGTGCTATGAAAGCTCCTCTTGCCTTTTGAATTCTTATTTTAATAACTATCTATCAGCTGACATAATATTCATTTCTCAGGTCATTGTAGCTGGCTCAGTTGCCAGGCTAACTCACTCCGCTTCGATTCCTACTCTAACTCAAATTATCAATTATGTGTACTTCTCGTCTCTTTTTATGAAAAACCAATGGCCACTGCAAGGCGGTCTGCTGTCAAATCGTTCGCAGCTGGGATTGAACTCGACGCCTGGGAGTTACGAAGCGCGTTTAAATAGCACCTGTTTGGCACTGACAGTTACTCTGGGGTTCTCCGTTTGTTTCGCTCTGAATATCGATGGTCTGTTTCACGGGTGCGTCGTTTAGTTTATGGCGGCGTTGGTTTATGGAGACCCCTGGAGATCGACACCGGTGCGAGTGAGTGAGTGACTTTCTACCCCACTAGGACATCACACAAGCGATAAACACCCGATGACACAATGTGCCACCATGTGGATGAGGATCACCGTGGAGAGGTCCCAGAAACCGCGTTCAGACATTTGGCCATATTTATGGCCTGCCTATATTGCGGCCCCTGGCAAAAGCCAGAGTGGGGCTTCAAATAACAAAAAATTACGTCCTGAAAATGACATAGAGGATGTAGAACACCGGTGCAGCAGTGTTCACGCTTTGTGCGAAGCTCTAGGTTGGCCATTATGTGAGAAAATAACGAGTCATATAAGATGAAACTCGATGCAGTGAAGTCGACTCTCTCGGCGTTAACGTTTTCCCTTTAATAAACACTAGCTTTGCAGGGGAGCTGCTTGCTTGATCGTTGTATCCCACTAGGCTATCACACAAGTGATAAAAACCCGGTGACACAAAGTGCCACCATGCAGATGAGGATCACCCGTGGAGAGTTCCCAGAAACCCCTTTCAGCCGTTATGGCCAAAATTGTGGCCCAGCTATATTCAGGGCCCCCGGCAAAAGCCAGGGTGGGGCTTCGAATAACGAAAAAGGGGGGATGACTAGGGTTGTAAGGGAGTTAACTTGCTATTGTGGGAAAACATCAAGATGGTTATCAACCTTTAATATATAGGTCATCCTCTTTCCATACACATAAGTGTCCTTATTAAATATTGATTGTACGACTGGCGTTTTTTCCCCCTCCAAGTTTTGCTCTTAAGCCATATTTCGTTCGATGGACAAACATCACATCATGTGTGGCTTCGTTTACAGTCAAAGCGAAATCTTGTGTGTACTTGTTGTGAAAGTGGACTAGGTCAGGGCCGAACTGATAATATCTGAGGTAAATGTGCCAAAGATACTGAAGGTAAGCCAGTGCGCTAGACTGTATGCTAGCTAGCACCAGTGTCGGATTAACCATTAAGCACACTAAGCACCTGCTTAGGCATCACGA